AAGGAAGGAAGGAAGGAAGGAAGGAAGGAAGGAAGGAAGGAAGGAAGAATAGAAACCCTCACATCCCTATAAGCTAGGAACTATCACCCCCATTTTACAGATGGGGAAACTGAGGGCTGCAGAGGTTAATCAGCTGAAGGGCACAGGCACACACATCTGGTTTGTGGCCAACTGGATCCTGGACTGAAGCCATGTGAAGCCAGCACCCGTGAGTCAAGCGCCTTTGCTGTACTGTTTTATTGGTTCACTTCTGGTTTATAGGTCTACACTCCCTCCCACAGCCTGGGTGGACTGTGAACCTTCTGGGAGTAGGGCTGTGATCATTTCATCCCAGGCTGAGCCCAGCCTGGCAGGAGTGCTCAAGATGTGCTAAGTGTGGGTGTGAGTAGGGCCCAGGGTGACTGGCATTTGGAGGAGATACTGAGCTTATATTTCTGGAGGGTCACATGGCAGCACCCAGGGGAGACTGGGATGTCTTCAGCCCTCCAGAGGCTACCAGGCTGCTCCCACAGGTGCTGTGGGAGAAAGTGGCAGCCCTGCTGGGCCACGTGGCTCTAAGACAAGGCTCCAGGTCCCCTACTCTCTGCTGGCAGAAAACTCTGTCCCAGCCCCAGGACCCAGAAGTCCCAGTTCTTAAGTCACCCCTCCAAGGAGTCCTTGCTTCCTTTTTCCCACAAGCCAGTGGTCCCAGCCCCCACCCTCCTCCAGTTTTTCTAGAACCCAGGTAAGTAGCCTCCAGGCCCCCTAGCCAGAGGTGCATGGAGCCAGCTGACACCAGCTGGCCAGAGCCGATGTGCACAGCCCCTTCCACCTCTGCACTCCATGATGCCAGGTGAGTAGCTGGAAGTCAGCCGAGGAGCAGGTATTGCATCATGGACATTGGTAAATGCAATGAACCAGGGCTTCTATTTTAACCAGGGAGCCTGCTGTTAAACGCTTAACGCATCGTTGCTCCCAGCCCTCCATCTTCCTGCTCTCCAGGCCAGGAGCCCCTGTCACAAGGCCCAGGGAGCCCTGGAGTCTGGAGAGAATCATGATAAGACACAAGGTTGTGGCTGGGCATCACTGCTGTCCATGCCACCCTGGGGCTGGACCTGGTCCCCAGCCCCAGACTTTCCCATCTCCACACCAAGGCCCCTGTCCCAGACTGGAGTTGGTCCCCAGCTCTGCATAACTCAGGAACCGAGAGCTCCAGGTGTGGAGCCACACAGACTCGGGTGTGGCTATGGGCAAGTCACTTTAGCTGTCTGGGCTACGGTGTCCTCATCTGCAGCAGGGAATCAGTAAATAGCATGACCCTAAAGCCACACTTGTGCTGTTCACCTTCAAATTCTGCCCAAGGGACCCCAAGCAAGGTGGAGAATCCCCTGCCCCGAGCCTCAGCTTCCTCATCTGTAAGATGGGAATTACAGCAGTTCCTTCTCATCAGGCCATCATAAAAGCCAACGAGTTGGGCGGAGCACGGTGGCTCACACCTGTAATCCCAGCACTTTGGGAGGCCGAGGCGGGTGGATCATGAGGTCAGGAGTTTGAGGCCAGTCTGGCCAACGTGGTGAAACCCCGTTTCTACTAAAAATACAAAATTAGCTGGGTGCGGTGGCGCGTGCCTGTAATCCCAGCCACTTGTGAGGCTGAGGCAGGAGAATCGCTTGAGCCCGGGAGTGGAGGCTGCTGTGAGCAGAGATGGCACCACTGTACTCCAGCCTGGGTGAGAAGAGTGAAATTCTGTCTCCAAAAAAAAAAAAAAAAAAAAAAAGGTCAACAGGTTACACCTATAAAATAGTTTACTTGGCCAGTAGCAGTAGCTCATGCCTGTAATCTCAGCACTTTGGGAGGCCCAGGAAAGAGGATTGCTTGAATCCAGGAGTTTGAGGCCAGCCCCGGCAATATGGTGAAACCCCACCCCTACAAAAAGTCCAAAAATTAGTGGGGCATGAGTGGCCTATGCCTGTAGTCCCAGCTACTGGGGAGGCTGAGGTGGGAGGATCGCTTGAGCCTGGGAGGTCGAGGCTGCAGTGATGGTACCACTGCACTCCAGCCTGGGTGGCAGAGCAAGACTCCTTCTCTAAAAAATAAAAAGCTTACTTAGCAGAGTGCTTAAGATGTCAGATTAGATGTTGTTATCATTGGTAATCATTTCCCATCCCACAGGGCAAGGCAGTGGGGACAGGAAAGGAGCCGCGGCTATCTCAATGTAGGATCTGCACACAGTAGGTGCTCAGTTAACTGGCCGGGTAATTTACAGCCACAGCAGGATGGGCCAGTGCCCCCAGCCAGGTGGAAGCGACTCTCCCTCGACCCGCCCCGCCACACCGGCAGTCTGGGAGGGCCCCGGCCCCTCCCGCGGCCCCGCCCCTTCACCTGTGCAGGCTGCACACCTGGAGCCGCCTCCGGAAGAGGGGACGGGAGGCCTCGGAGGGAGCCCGGCGGCTTCGGGTGAGAGCGTGGGGGACGCCGAGGGCCAGGACCCTCGAGCTTGGGGAGGGACCGGTCTGGCCGCGTCGGCGGAGAAAATGGGGGAGCCGGGGTGGGGACTGGGGAACCGGGATCGCCGGTGAACCGGGGGCGGGAACTCAGCCGTCCGGGGTGAACCCAGTCCCTTCTCCAGGTTTCCAACGCCTGGGACTGGGGGTCGGGGGTCTGGAGGCCCAGATACCTGGGCAGCTAGGTGCGGGAGGGGATGGGGAGAAGTCTTCAGGTCCGGGTCTCTGGGGTGGAGGGGGGCCGGGGAGCGGGGTCCAGGGTGCCGAGTCAGGGAGATCCCCGGGAGCGGCCTGGGGGCAGCTGGGCTGGGACCACCGTGACATTCAGGTCCTGCCAGCAGGGCTGCGCTTGGACACCGGGCGAGAGGAGGAGGGGGAGCATGGGTGTGGTGTGTGTGTACTGGTTGGGGACCCTCCGGAGGGCTGGGGCAGGTAAGCCTGGTGTGTCGGGCCCGCTGTTCCGAGCCCCCGAACCCCAGGCCCTGAGCAGTCCTAGGGGAGCACAGGGCTCCCGTCCCCAGGGGCGGGCCGGGAAGTAAACAGAAACTCCGAGGCGCACTGTGGCGGGGCGGCCGGCACAACCTGTTACCTCGCCCTGTCCTGGGCCCCACGCCAGGGCCCTGGGAAACTGGGGGGCTGGGGGTCAGGGCTCCTGAGACCAGAGGGGTGGGGGCAGGAATGCCTGAGTCCCGTGGAAAATGGGAACTGAGGTGGGAATCCTTGGTGGGGGACACTGGAGGTGGGACCTCTGAGTCTGGAGGGTGGAGTCAAAGCACCTGCTTGGGAGATAAGGAGAATGAGGGCGGGAGACCTGGAAGGTCTGGGGCTGGGAGCTGGGCTTCTGGTAGGGGAGGGAGCTGGATTCCTGGGGGCCAAGACATCTCAGTTCCCAAGCCTTAGGGTCCAGCATTCCTGGGAGGAGAAGGGACTGGGCTCAACTCCAACAGCTGAGTCCCTGAGAACCTGGGTTCTGGGAACGATCTCAGATGGTGAGGGGCTGCGAGCCAAACTTCTGGGTTCTGGGAAGAGAGGGTACCGGGAGCAGAGGTGGCCTGCGGCCCTGGAGTGCTGGAAGGAGCTTTCCTGGGGGCAGAGATCCGTAGAGGCCAAAGGCTGGGCAGGTCATTTCCTTCTACTTCCTGCCTCAGTGTACCCCAGGGACATTAACGGAACTGGGTGGCCAGAACACAGGTCATTAACCCTTCGTGGCCCAGGAAGCTCTGGCTGCAGGACCCAGCAGGCCGCGCAGGTCGAGAATTCATGGAGGGCCGGGTGCCGGCCTGCGGAGGGCGTGCCCCCGTCAGACTGCAGAGTAGAGTGTCCCGCAGCCACCTGTCCCCGCAGATGCAGCAGGTGACATGAGCTTTCCAGATGGGCCCAGCTTCTCATCGTCGGGGCTGCTTTCTGGGGGTACCTCTCCCAGCGGCGACGAGGGCTTCTTCCCCTTTGTGCTGGAGCGGCGGGAGTCATTCCTGGGAGGGGGCCCAGGGCCTGAGGAGCCAGAGGACCTGGCCCTGCAGCTGCAGCAGAAGGAGAAAGACCTGCTGTTGGCCGCAGAGCTCGGCAAGATGCTTCTGGAGCGAAATGAGGAGCTGCGGCGGCAGCTGGAGACACTGAGCACCCAGCACTCGGAGCGTGAGGAAGTAAGCTAGTGCCAGCCCGGGTGGGCAGGGGAGGACAGGTGGGCCTGGAGAGGACAAGAGAACGGAGTCAAGCAAGGGAAGGAGAGAGGAGCCCGAGGGGGTGGAGGGACAAAGGGGCAGGGGGAGGACTCTGGAACAGGTTAGGGCTGTGCCCAGTTCCCCTGGCAGTGCTGCCCAGTGGTAAAGAACATGAACTCTGGGGACCATGGACAGTTCCTTACTCCTGTAATCCCAGCACTTTGGAAGGCCAAAACAGCACCATCACTAGCCCAGTGTTCGAGGCCAGCCTGGGCAACATAGCCAGACTCTGTCTCTACATAAAATAAGAAAATTAGCTGGATGTGGTAGTGGCACTTGTAGTCCTAGCTACTCAGGAGGCTGAGGCAGGAGGATCACATGAGCCCAGGAATTTTAGAGTTTGAGGCTGCAGTAAGCTATGATCCACTGCACTCCAGCTTGGGCAACAGAGTGAGACCCTGAAAAAAAAAAAAAAAAAAAAAAAAAAAGGAAGGAAGGAAAGAAAGAAAGTGAGAGAAAAAAAGAAAAGAAAAGAAAAAAGAGAAAAATCATGAACTCTGAGGATTAAGACCTGGGTTCAGGTTGGGCATGGTGGCTCACACTTGTAAGCATGTAATCCCAGCACTTTAGGAAGCCAAGGCGGGCAGATCATTTGAGGTCAGGAGTTCAAGACCAGCCTGACCAATATGGTGAAACCCCATCTCTAGGAAAAATACAAAAAAAAAAAAAAAAAAATAGCCAGGCATGATGGCACGTGCCTGTAGTCCCAGGTACTCGGGAGACTGAGGCAGGAGAATCACTTGAACCTGGGAGGCAGAGGTTGCTGTGAGCC